AATATAAATCAGTCCACAGAGTACGGGGCCAGGCCACCAGGCACCAGCCCCGGGGCGCCAGTCCGCCAGTCCGCTAGACCTCCAGCCTCCAGGCCGCCACGCGCCAGGGCCGCTACTAGTAGTAGAGGCGGGCCGGGGTAAATATTGTAGCGTTGTGTATCTGTGTAAATATTTACAACTGTCTATTTTGGAAGGCTATTTACATATGCTGTTATGGTGTGTAAATATTGTTATTTTTATAACAAATATTTCAATCCGAAAAAATAATGTAAATTAAAATACCTACTAAAAGTACTAAATATATTCTAATTTGATTTAAGAATTAAAATACAGCTCAATAGATTGAGATATTGTTAAAAAAAAACACGTATAGTTAGGTTACGATGAATTAAGTTCAAGATTTTAAACATATGTATCTTTTGCAATTGTTTTATTTTAGGAGATACGTGTATTTTATCACTTTTTGATAAGTGGCACTCTCCGACACAGTCTCCAAGACTCCAACTGACAAGTGGCAACTGCCGCTGCTGTGGCGGGGTCATTTACATCATATAAAATAAATAGTCATCATGAAGGAGTTGGGAACTTGTGGGAACCCCAGACCCCACTGCCCCCAGAGAGGGGGGTCCAGACGCCCAAACCAAGAGCCCAGAGATGCATATTTATCTGCAAACTTCATACAGAAACCGTTATCCCGCAACTGGCAGTCCCGATCAAAATTCACCGGCACCTCAACACAAATTTATATTATTCAGATCAAGTTCGAAACGACAATCGACATATTTATTAAATATCAATTTATCTTTGTTTGATCTGCGGGGGAGAAGCAGAAAGGACTCTAGGAGTGCAGCAAGCCAGCAACCATCACAGCATATTCTTTATTCTTTATTGAACCTTTTTTTTTGGCGGGTGTTTGTTGTCGCTCGTGGTGCGTGTTGTCGTGTGTGCAACACAGTAGGTCTGCTTAGTCTGAGTGAAGCTGCTCGCAGTCATTCTCTGCCGGCAGGTGTAGTTTACCTGGGGCGAACTCAGTCAGTATAATAGGAATAAATTTAGACTTATACCGATCTTGCCAATTGCTCGATCGGTGCAACCAAGTTCTGGCTCATGTTAGGGCCGGAAGTAGCTTTGAAGCACCGGCGGCGAATCCTTCTATAGGGGATAATACCCTGTGCGTACACGCATGATAATAACATGCAGCAACCTGAGGGGAATCGAACTGGAAGCTCGAGTCTGCAGGTATGCACGATTTTTTGTATTCGCACGTACTAGTACGGCAGCTGAAATTATTCCACGTATGCTAGATCCTGCGGTGGTTGTACATTATTTGGGCTGTTAATTTCATACTAATCATACCTTTTCGTCGGTTACTGGTCAGTTTCGCTTGCTTTCAGTGCCATGTCACTATGAGAGCGAAACATCTCGTATTATCATATTTTGAGCTATCAGGGTATTTACACACCCGTGTATGAAGCTCAATGGGCGTGTCTGTTATTGTCTGTTATTGTACGCGACAAAATAGCCTAGTACATGCAACTACGTTTGAGCACCGAGTTCAGCCCCGTAATCCGCACGTGGGTTGTGGGTATTGCAATTACGCTTACTCCTTTTTGCACATGGAACTTATTATTCAAGTTGATAGCTGACTACGAGCATATCAATACCTAGTGTTACATTAAGTGCTTATTTCCGAGACAATTACTTATAGTGTGAAACAGACCACCAATTCGTACTGCTTTATCTTTTGGACAACTAGCATATACACGAAATGGGTTCGCAAACAGTTTTGGATTTGGAGTATATACCGGCTTTTTAAATTAGGATATATGCTCGTCGCTGTGCTTGCCTTCTTACATGCGCGGCTGAAGAATATACTCTTGCTTCATACACGTCAGTTGCACGGCGTGATGTACAGACACCATTATTGGTTACATATTGGCTGAATGGGTGTCACATCTCATCTTGAATCAATTGTTGCTGGGTGCGCAATAGTTTTTCTGCTGGCGTGCGTCCAAACATGTATATTCTTTTGCTACACGTAATCAATGCACTTTCGGTGATGCCTGTGTGTGGGTACGTGTGCGTGTATGTATGTATATGCGTATGCGTGTATGCGTTAGTATATGATTTCAAAGTGACGCTCGCAAGGCTTTCAATTGAATACACGCGTTTATTGTGCTTTCATATTAGTGCATTTCTGTTGCGCATGGGTCATAAGTTAGTGCTTGCGAAATTCAAGTGCGCCTGTGTGTACGGATCAACGTTTATGTGCTATACCCTGAAGAGCTATCCCGAAATAACTCTAGAAACTGGCCGTGCATGTTGTAGTAATAGTCTTGAACTAGTTGATCTACTCGCTGTATACGTGTCCTATTTTGTTAGCAACCGTCCATTTCTCTGTTGTTAGCGTATGTCACCAAGCCAATCAGGCCTCATAGACCTTGTTGCCCTGCATGTTATCAATTCGAGAGTCATATCTACCTGGTCCACCAATGAGAGCCCAATATATCTCCGTATAGTCTAACCACGCTTATATTGCGCTCTCAATGGTGACCTAAAAATAATTTTGACCATATGAGACTACGAATTCTTGGCCACTCTCCATCCCAATCGAAATAGAATATTATACAAGTGTGGTGTTTTTGTAAGGTATTATTTGTGTTGCTTGCACGCCTTTGGATCTACGGTCGGCCTGTACCTTCGCTTATATCAGTGGTTTAGCGCGGACGAGTGCTGTATGTCCCTGGGCAAGTCTGCGTTTGTTTTTATAGTGCGCGTACCAAATGTTTCGTGCATACATGTATATCGAGAGTGGGTATGATTTGAAGCTCTGTGTGGTTCAAGACTCGTGAGAGGACCGAACTATTTACTTTTCCGTCGTCAGACTACTACTATGTGGGCATGTACATTCAGGCACCGCTTATTCGTTTCATACGTCACCTTCGTTCCCGTGTGATCAAATAAGTTGAGAATTTGTGTGTGGCGATACGAGACTTAGCGTTTGATCTAACTAACTTATTCTGATATCTTTTTCTGGATTAGGATCCCAACATGATGGTACAGGCCAACAACGCTCAAGGAGGCTCTGGCGGGAGCGTCACTGGTAGCTTTGGCTCCCGCGGTAATGAGGCCTGGGCAAGTAATGCTCAAGGCGGTTCCAACTTGGGAGGATTGATGAGTGGCATGGATGTTCTAGGCAGTGGTAAGTACTTCCCTGGGGGATGTGTTTATCATGTATTCTAGGACTTATTGGGCGCACCTACAAAGATTCAAAGATTAGATAGCAAGGAGAGTTGTGTATTGACAATGTGTTGCTCCTGCGAGTACGAAAGGCGTTGAAGATAGGATAAGGTCACCTGAAGCTTGGTAGAGGTCATAAGCCTTGCACAGTGTCGTTCCATGTATCGATGATCAACGAAACTTGTAGCATGTTAATGTACGTGCTGTTTACTTGCCTGCGATGGATGCTGTTCTATACTCCTATTCAGTATGTCTTAGAGCACCTGACTGGTTACAGATTCTGAATCGGTGTCATGTTTTTAACACTGTGTTTTAATTTAATTCTTGTTTACGACTTTAACAATTAATCACACCACAAAAGAATACATCTTTCTCTCAATAACTAATAGTGTGCTTATATATA